CTGTGAGTTAGGGTCTCTTTAAGGGGAGGCCTATGATAAAAACAGTTATAAAACACAAATAGAGTTCTACCATTTTCGGCAAGACGCCAGTATATGGGGCGCCCTTTTCATGAGTGTGGTTGGTCGGAGGGATGGATTTGCCTCAAACAGATTATCGTTATATAATTCATTATGAAATAGAACATGCATGCATTACAGATTCCAGCTCCTTAATACCACTTACTAAATTGTTTTGTGAATGAGCGGCGTGGAGAGCAGGTTACATATGGCCGGCTGGTCTCAGCCTAGTGCAGCAGCTTTACGTTACCTCAAATATCACAGAGGGTATGTATCACTCACATAATACTATATTCCATTTAGCAGAGACTAAGCTATCAGGTACTCTATCTCACTAAACTGTCCCAGAGGTTTGGGTGGCTGACTCACTACCTGTTGTTGAGATGAGGAAGGGGTATTCAAATCTTGCCCTACGAGGGCCAGAGTATTGCTGGTTTTCTGTTATACCTGATAATTAATTGCACCCACCTGATGTCCCAGGTCTAAATCAGTCCCTGATTAGAGGGGACGCATGAAAAAATGCAGTAGAACTGGCTTGGAGGTCCAGGTTTGAATTAAAAGGTCTTCCATATAAACAAATTCTGTGCTGGGCCGCTAACTGACCTAGGTAGCCTTTCAGGTAGCTAACTGACCTAGGTAGCCTTTCAGGTAGCTAACTGACCTAGGTAGCCTTTCAGGTAGCTAACTGACCTAGGTAGCCTTTCAGGTAGCTAACTGACCTAGGTAGCCTTTCAGGTAGCTAACTGACCTAGGTAGCCTTTCAGGTAGCTAACTGACCTAGGTAGCCTTTCAGGTAGCTAACTGACCTAGGTAGCCTTTCAGGTAGCTAACTGACCCAGGTAGCCTTTCAGGTAGCTAACTGACCCAGGTAGCCTTTCAGGTAGCTAACTGACCCAGGTAGCCTTTCAGGTAGCTAACTGACCCAGGTAGCCTTTCAGGTAGCTAACTGACCCAGGTAGCCTTTCAGGTAGCTAACTGACCCAGGTAGCCTTTCAGGTAGCTAACTGACCCAGGTAGCCTTTCAGGTAGCTAACTGACCCAGGTAGCCTTTCAGGTAGCTAACTGACCCAGGTAGCCTTTCAGGTAGCTAACTGACCTAGGTAGCCTTTCAGGTAGCTAACTGACCCAGGTAGCCTTTCAGGTAGCCTAGGTCAGTTAGCTGCCCAGTTCAGAATTTGTTATACCGTGTTGATGTCATTCCACCCTGAGATGGACATCAACACACTTCTCTCTGTAATGGGCAGGCCTGATCTCTCTGTAGTGGGCAGGCCTGATCTCTCTGTAGTGGGCAGGCCTGATCTCTCTGTAGTGGGCAGGCCTGATCTCTCTGTAGTGGGCAGGCCTGATCTCTCTGTAGTGGGCAGGCCTGATCTCTCTGTAGTGGGCAGGCCTGATCTCTCTGTAGTGGGCAGGCCTGCACAGATTGTGTGTCTGGTCTGGAACGTACCCATAAGGTTGAGCTGTACAGTAAACAGGACTCCTACTCCAACTGAGCCTCTGATTCACTTCTATAATAAGTTTCTGAACTAGTTGTATCTGGAACGGACCCATAATGTTGAGCTGTATGTAGCGAATATAGAATAGCTAGTACTTTACTGGGAGAGACAGGACCTGGGAGAGACAGGACCTGGGAGAGACAGGAGGGTGGTTGGTCTGTTGTTCAAGACAGGACCTGGGAGAGACAGGACCTGGGAGAGACAGGACCTGGGAGAGACAGGACCTGGGAGAGACAGGAGGGTGGTTGGTCTGTTGTTCAAGACAGGACCTGGGAGAGACAGGACCTGGGAGAGACAGGACCTGGGAGAGACTGGACCTGGGAGAGACAGGAGGGTGGTTGGTCTGTTGTTCAAGACAGGACCTAGGAGAGACAGGACCTGGGAGAGACAGGAGGGTGGTTGATCTGTTTTACAAGACAGGACCTGGGAGGGACAGGAGAGTGGTTGGTCTGTTGTTCAAGACAGGACCTAGGAGAGACAGAACCTGGGAGAGACAGGAGGGTGGTTGGTCCGATGTACTAGACAGGACCTGGGAGAGACAGGACCTTCGGGAAATTAGTCTTCAGATTCAGTCTGGAGTCCTATTGCTTGATCTGTTGTACTAGACAGGACCTGGGAGAGACGGGAGGGTGGTTGATCTGTTGTACTAGACAGGACCTGGGAGAGACAGGAGGGAGATTGATATGTTGTACAAGACAGGACCTTGGAAACACAGGACCTGGGAGAGACGGGAGCGTGGCATGGCGTTATCTAGCCTACGAGCATGTTCCTCTGTAGAAGGGCAGGGTAGGCGTTAGAACATGTAGACCTAAAGTCTTCCCGAATGCTTCCCATCCATTTCCTCTGTAGAAGGGCAGGGTAGGCGTTAGAACATGTAGACCTAAAGTCTTCCTGAATGCTTCCCATCCATTTTTTCAGCTGTTCGTGCACATTACATTTTTTCTCGAGGCAAGCCTAAGTTCGGTAGCCGAAGTCTACGCTCCTGTGTTGGTGATTGGTCAACAGTAGAGATTCTTCAATAAAGTCTTTGTTGTCATTAAACAAGAGACGACTCGTTTTCATGAAAATGTTTTAACTTGAGAAATACTGCACCAAATACCTTAGATGTCAAACTGAGCAACTAAAACATCCTCGGGGGAAAAACCTCAAAATGAATGACAGATTTATTTTAGATCCATTCGGACTCTTTTTTGGCTACGGCGTCTCAAGATGGACAAACAGTACTAAGGGATTATGCGAGGCACAGACGTTCACTTCACCTAGCCGAGTTCTGCTCGGAGCAAACCTCTTGTCCTCCCTTTCCGCTCCGGGCTAGCTGTTCACAACGTCCTGTTGGTTTAAATGCAATCTGTTGGTTTTGGCTTGTTGGTTTTTGGTTTACACACGCTTGCTCAGAAAGCCCTCTCCTCTGTGGTTTGCTTGTTCGCTGTGTGGAGAGATGTGAGTGTCATGAATGACTGACTCAACCCCCGTGTGGCCCTGAACCCCACACCCGTGCTTAGTCCTACACACACATTCACCCACCAACTGAGCTATTGGCATCGATTGCTGTATAAAGATGATTCACACAGTCTCTTTCCTGTGATGAGGTTATCCTCTAACCCTCATCATGCTGTTTGACCTCTAACCTTCATCATGCTGTTTGACCTCTAACCTTCATCATGCTGTTTGACCTTTAACCCTCATCATGCTGTTTGACCTCTAACCTTCATCATGCTGTTTGACCTCTAACCTTCATCATGCTGTTTGACCTTTAACCCTCATCATGCTGTTTGACCTTTAACCCTCATCATGCTGTTTGACCTCTAACCTTCATCATGCTGTTTGACCTCTAACCTTCATCATGCTGTTTGACCTTTAACCTTCATCATGCTGTTTGACCTCTAACCTTCATCATGCTGTTTGACCTCTAACCCTGACCTCTAACCTTCATCATGCTGTTTGACCTCTAACCTTCATCATGTTGTTTGACCTTAACCTTCATCATGCTGCTGTTTGACCTCTAACCTTCATCATGCTGTTTGACCTTTAACCTTCATCATGCTGTTTGACCTTTAACCCTCATCATGCTGTTTGACCTTTAACCTTCATCATGCTGTTTGACCTTTAACCCTCATCATGCTGTTTGACCTTTAACCCTCATCATGCTGTTTGACCTTTAACCTTCATCATGCTGTTTGACCTCTAACCTTCATCATGCTGTTTGACCTTTAACCCTCATCATGCTGTTTGACCTTTAATCTTCATCATGCTGTTTGACCTTTAACCCTCATCATGCTGCTGTTTGACCTCTAACCTTCATCATGCTGTTTGACCTCTAACCTTCATCATGTTTATCTCCTTTCCAGGAGCCCATCAAGTCCCGGGCCCCACAGCTTCACCTGGAGTACAGGTTCTATAAACAGCTGGGGAGTTCAGGTGAGACGACAACAGGATTATATTGTTTCTCTGTGGTTATGAACACCAATGTAATGGACGTTTATTATCAGGAAAACTGTTAAATGTAGTATACTCGACTAACATTGACTCTGTACCGGTACCCCCTCTATATAGCCTCGTTATTGTTATTTTATTGTGTTACTTTTTTAAACTTTAGTTTATTTAGTACATATTTTCTTGACTCTTATTTTTCTTTAAACTGCATTGTTGATTAAGAGCTTGTAAGTAAGCATTTCACTCTAAGGGTTACACCTGTTGTATTCGGCGCATGTGACAAATAAAATGGATTTGATTTGAATCCACCAATGTAATGGAAGTTTATTATCAGGAAAACTGTTAAATGTAGTATTGAATCCTATAGAGACTCTGTTTTACTCTGGTCCAGGGGCTGTATGGACGGTATGAATCAAGCTCCTCACAGTAGTGCTGAGCTAGGATCAGGTCCTTCCTGTCCATGTCATCTTATTTATTGGAATCGAAAAGGCAAAACTGATCCTAGACCACTTAAGACTCTTGATTCATATGGCCCCAACTCCTAGAGTCTGGAATGGTTGTCTTGTGTGTGTGTGTGTGTGTGTGTGTCAGCATATTTCCCGTCGGTCTTTAGAATGATGAATAGTTAACCATGCAGGGTCAGCCTATGGACACACGGCTCAGAGAAGACAGACTAACCATGCAGGGTCAGCCTATGGACACACGGCTCAGAGAAGACAGACTAACCATGCAGGGTCAGCCTATGGACACACGGCTCAGAGAAGACAGACTAACCATGCAGGGTCAGCCTATGGACACACGGCTCAGAGAAGACAGACTAACCATGCAGGGTCAGCCTATGGACACACGGCTCAGAGAAGACAGACTAACCATGCAGGGTCAGCCTATGGACACACGGCTCAAGAAGACAGACTACCATGCAGGGTCAGCCTATGGACACACGGCTCAGAGAAGACAGACTAACCATGCAGGGTCAGCCTATGGACACCCGGCTCAGAGAAGACAGGACTAACCATGCAGGGTCAGCTATGGACACACGGCCTCAGAGAAGACAGACATAACCATGCAGGGTCAGCCTATGGACACACGGCTCAGAGAAGACAGACTAACCATGCAGGGTCAGCCTATGGACACAACGGCTCAGAGAAGACAGGACTAACCATGCAGGGTCAGCCTATGGACACACGGCTCAGAGGAAGACAGACTAACCATGCAGGGTCAGCCTATGGACCACACGGATCAGAGAAGACAGACTAACCATGCAGGGTCAGCCTATGGACACACGGCTCAGAGAAGACAGACTAACCATGCAGGGTCAGCCTATGGACACACGGCTCAGAGAAGACAGACTAACCATGCAGGGTTCAGCCTATGGACAACACGGCTCAGAGAAGACAGACTAACCATGCAGGGTCAGCCTATGGACACACGGCTCAGAGAAGACAGACTTGGCTATGTCACAGGCACCCTATTCCCCTGTGTACAGTTGAAGTCGGAAGTTTACATACACTTAGGTTGGAGTCATTAAAACTCATTCTTTCAACCACAATTTCTTGTTAACAAACTATAGTTTTGGCACGTCAGTTAGGACATCTACTTTGTGCATGACACAAGTAATTTTTCCAATAATTGTTTACAGATAGATTATTTCACTTATAATTCACTGTATCACAATTCCAGTGGGTCAGAAGTTTACATACACTAAGTTGACTGTGCCTTTAAACAGCTTGGAAAATTCCAGAAAATGATGTCATGGCTTTAGAAGCTTCTGATAGGCTAATTGACATCAGTTAAGTCAATTGGAGGTGTACCTGTGGATGTATTTCAAGGCCTACCTTCAAACTCAGTGCCTCTTTGCTTGGCATCATGGGAAAATCAAAAGAAATCAGCCAAGACCTCAGAAAAAAGATTGTAGACCTCCACAAGTCTGGTTCATCCTTGGGAGCAATTTCCAAATGCCTGAAGGTACCACATTCATCTGTACAAACAATAGTACGCAAGTATAAACACCATGGGACCACGCAGCCGTCATACCGCTCAGGAAGGAGACGCGTTCTGTCTCCTAGAGATGAACGTACTTTGGTGCGAAAAGTGCAAATCAATCCCAGAACAACAGCAAAGGACCTTGTGAAGATGCTGGAGGATACGGGTACAAAAGTATCTATATCCACAGTAAAACGAGTCCTATATCGACATAACCTGAAAGGCCACTCAGCAAGGAAGAAGCCACTGCTCCAAAACCGCCATAAAAAAGCCAGACTACGGTTTGCAACTGCACATGGGGACAAACATCGTACTTTTTTGAGAAATGTCCTTTGGTCTGATGACTGTTTGGCCATAATGACCATCGTTATGTTTGGAGGAAAAAGGGGAACGCTTGCAAGCCGAAGAACACCATCCCAACCGTGAAGCACGGGGGTGGCAGCATCATGCTGTGGGGGTGCTTTGCTGCAGGAGGGACTGGTGCACTTCACAAAATAGATGGCATCATGAGGAAGGAAAATTATGTGGATATATTGAAGCAACATCTCAAGACATCAGTCAGGAAGTTAAAGCTTAGTCGCAAATGGGTCTTCCAAATGGACAATGACCCCAAGCATACTTCCAAAGTTGTGGCAAAATGACTTAAGGACGACAAAGTCAAGGTATTGGAGTTGCCATCACAAAGCCCTGACCTCAATCCTATAGAACATTTGTGGGCAGAACTGCTAAAGGGTGTGCGAGCAAGGAGGCCTACAAACCTGACTCAGTTACACCAGCTCTGTCAGGAGGAATGGGCCAAAATTCACCCAACTTATTGTGGGAAGCTTGTGGAAGGCTACCCGAAAACGTTTGACCCAAGTTAAACAATTTAAAAGCAATGCTACCAAATACTAATTGAGTGTATGTAAACTTCTGACCCACTGGGAATGTGCTGAAAGAAATAATTCTCTCTACTATTATTCTGATATTTCACATTCTTAAAATAAAGTGGTGATCCTAACTGACCTAAAATGGGGAATTGTTACTCGGATTAAATGTCAGGAATTGTGAAAAACTGAGTTTAAATGTATTTGGCTAAGGTGTATGTAAACTTCCGACTTCAACTATACACTTTATGAAGCAGTGCACTATGAAGGGCATAGGGTACCGTTTGGGACACAGACAGAGAGAGGGATAGGGGATAGATTCACCTGACTCTACCTCAGCCTGTTATAGTGGAGAGCACCTGGTGACTCTACCTCAGCCATGTTATAGTGGAGAGCACCTGGTGACTCATACCTCAGCCTGTTAGAGTGGAGAGCACCATGGTGACTCTACCTCAGCCTGTTATGGTGGAGAGCACCCTGGTGACTCTACCTCAGGCCTGCTTATAGTGGAGTAGCACCTGGTGACTCATACCTCAGCCTGGTTATAGTGGAGGCACCTGGTGACTCTACCTCAGCCATGTTTATAGTGGAGACGTAACCTGGGGACTCCTACCTCAGCCTGTTTATAGTGGAGAGCACCTGGTGACTCTACCCTCAGCCTGTTTATAGTGGAGAGCACCTGGTGACTCTACCTCGGCCTGATTATAGTGGAGATGGCACCTGGTGACTATACCCTATCAGCCTGTTATAGTGGAGAGGCACCTGGTGACTCTTACCGTCAGCCGTTTATAGTGGAGAGCAACCTGGGACCTACCTCAGCCTGTTTTATAGTGGAGAGCACCTGGTGACTCTACCTCAGCCTGTTATAGTGGAGAGCACCTGGTGACTCTACCTCAGCCTGTTATAGTGGAGAGCACCTGGTGACTCTACCTCAGCCTGTTATAGTGGAGAGCACCTGGTGACTGTCCCTCAGCCTGTTATAGTGGAGAGCACCTGGTGACTCTACCTCAGCCTGTTATAGTGGAGAGCACCTGGTGACTGTCCCTCAGCCTGTTATAGTGGAGAGCACCTGGTGACTCTACCTCAGCCTGTTATAGTGGAGAGCACCTGGTGACTGTCCCTCAGCCTGTTATAGTGGAGAGCACCTGGTGACTCTACCTCAGCCTGTTATAGTGGAGAGCACCTGGTGACTGTACCTCAGCCTGTTATAGTGGAGAGCACCTGGTGACTCTACCTCAGCCTGTTATAGTGGAGAGCACCTGGGTGACTCTACCTCAGCCTGTTATAGTGGAGAGCACCTGGTGACTCTACCTCAGCCTGTTATAGTGGAGAGCACTGGTGACTCTACCTCAGCCTGTTATAGTGGAGAGCACTGGTGACTTCTACCTCAGCCTGTTATAGTGGAGAGCACCTGGTGACTCTACCATCAGCCTGTTATAGTGGAGAGCACCTGGTGACTCTACCTCAGCCTGTTTATAGTGGAGAGCACCTGGTGACTCTACCTCAGCCTGTTATAGTGGAGAGCACCTGGTGACTCTACCTCAGCCTGTTATAGTGGAGAGCACCTGGTGACTCTACCTCAGCCTGTTATAGTGGAGAGCACCTGGTGACTCTACCTCAGCCTGTTATAGTGGAGAGCACCTGGTGACTCTACCTCAGCCTGTTATAGTGGAGAGCACCTGGTGACTCTACCTCAGCCTTTATAGTGGAGAGCACCTGGTGACTCTACCTCAGCCTGTTATAGTGGAGAGCACCTGGTGACTCTACCTCAGCCTGTTATAGTGGAGAGCACCTGGTGACTCTACCTCAGCCTGTTATAGTGGAGAGCACCTGGTGACTGTACCCTCAGCCTGTTATAGTGGAGAGCACCTGGTGACTGTCCCTCAGCCTGTTATAGTGGAGAGCACCTGGTGACTGTCCCGCATCCTGTTATAGTGGGAGCACCTGGTGACTCGACCTCAGCCTGTTATAGTGGAGAGCACCTGGGTGACTGTCCTCAGCCTGTTATGTGGAGAGCACCTGGTGACTGTCCCTCAGCCTGTTATAGTGGGAGAGCAACCTGGTGACTCTACCTCAGCCTGTTATAGTGGAGAGCACCTGGTGACTCTACCTCAGCCTGTTATAGTGGAGAGCACCTGGTGACTGTACCTCAGCCTGTTATAGTGGAGAGCACCTGGTGACTCTACCTCAGCCTGTTATAGTGGAGAGCACCTGGTGACTCTACCTCAGCCTGTTATAGTGGAGAGCACCTGGTGACTCTACCTCAGCCTGTTATAGTGGAGAGCACCTGGTGACTGTCCCCTCGCCTGTTGTAGAGGAGAGCACCTGGTGACTCTACCTCAGCCTGTTATAGTGGAGAGCACCTGGTGACTCTACCTCAGCCTGTTATAGTGGAGAGCACCTGGTGACTGGTGACTGTCCCTCAGCCTGTTATAGTGGAGAGCACCTGGTGACTGTCCCTCAGCCTGTTATAGTGGAGAGCACCTGGTGACTGTCCCTCAGCCTGTTGTAGAGGAGAGCACCTGGTGACTCTACCTCAGCCTGTTATAGTGGAGAGCACCTGGTGACTGGTGACTCTACCTCAGCCTGTTATAGTGGAGAGCACCTGGTGACTCTACCTCAGCCTGTTATAGAGGAGAGCACCTGGTGACTCTACCTCAGCCTGTTATAGTGGAGAGCACCTGGTGACTCTACCTCAGCCTGTTATAGTGGAGAGCACCTGGTGACTGTCCCTCAGCCTGTTATAGTGGAGAGCACCTGGTGACTCTACCTCAGCCTGTTATAGTGGAGAGCACCTGGTGACTCTACCTCAGCCTGTTATGTGGAGAGCACCTGGTGACTGTCCTTCAGCCTGTTATAGTGGAGAGCACCTGGTGACTTCACCTCAGCCTGTTATAGTGGAGAGCACCTGGTGACTCTACCTCAGCCTGTTATAGTGGAGAGCACCTGGTGACTCTACCTCAGCCTGTTTAGTGGAGAGCACCTGGTGACTCTACCTCAGCCTGTTATAGTGGAGAGCACCTGGTGACTCTACCTCAGCCTGTTATAGTGGAGAGCACCTGGTGACTCTACCTCAGCCTGTTATAGTGGAGAGCACCTGGTGACTCTACCTCAGCCTGTTATAGTGGAGAGCACCTGGTGGACTCTACCTCAGCCTGTTATAGTGGAGAGCACCTGGTGACTCTACCTCAGCCTGTTATAGTGGAGAGCACCTGGTGACTCTACCTCAGCCTGTTATAGTGGAGAGCACCTGGTGACTCTACCTCAGCCTGTTATAGTGGAGAGCACCTGGTGACTCTACCTCAGCCTGTTATAGTGGAGAGCACCTGGTGACTGTCCCTCAGCCTGTTATAGGGAGAGCACCTGGTGACTCTACCTCAGCCTGTTATAGTGGAGAGCACCTGGTGACTGGTACTCCCTGTTATAGTGGAGAGCACCTGGTGACTCTACCTCAGCCTGTTATAGTGGAGAGCACCTGGTGACTGTACCTCAGCCTGTTATAGTGGAGAGCACCTGGTGACTGTCCCCCAGCCTGTTATAGTGGAGAGCACCTGGTGACTGTCCCTCAGCCTGTTATAGTGGAGAGCACCTGGTGACTTTCCTCACCGAATGGGGTTTAGCCTGTTATAGTGGAGAGCACCTGGTGACTCTACCTCAGCCTGTTATAGTGGAGAGCACCTGGTGACTCTACCCTCAGCCTGTTTAGTGGAGAGCACCTGGTGACTGTACCTCAGCCTGTTATAGTGGAGAGCACCTGGTGACTGGTGACTGTCCCTCAGCCTGTTATAGTGGAGAGCACCTGGTGACTCTACCTCAGCCTGTTATAGTGGAGAGCACCTGGTGACTGGTGACTGTCCCTCAGCCTGTTATAGTGGAGAGCACCTGGTGACTCTACCTCAGCTGTTATAGTGGAGAGCACCTGGTGACTCTACCTCAGCCTGTTTATAGTGGAGAGCACCTGGTGACTCTACCTCAGCTGTTATAGTGGAGAGAACCTGGTGACTCTACCTCAGCCTGTTATAGTGGAGAGCACCTGGTGACTCTACCTCAGCCTGTTATAGTGGAGAGCACCTGGTGACTCTACCTCCAGCCTGTTATAGTGGAGAGCACCTGGTGACTCTACCTCAGCCTGTTATAGTGGAGAGCACCTGGTGACTCTACCTCAGCCTGTTATAGAGGAGAGCACCTGGTGACGTCCCTCAGCCTGTTATAGTGGAGAGCACCTGGTGACTCTACCTCAGCCTGTTATAGTGGAGAGCACTGGTGACTTACCTCAGCCTGTTATAGTGGAGAGCACCTGGTGACTCTACCTCAGCCTGTTATAGTGGAGAGCACCTGGTGACTGTCCCTCAGCCTGCTTATAGCTGTGAGGAGAGCACCTGGTGACTCTACCTCAGCCTGTTATAGGGAGAGCACCTGGTGACTGGTACCCTCAGCCTGTTATAGTGGGGGGAGCACCTGGTGACTGTACCTCAGCCTGTTATAGTGGAGAGCACCTGGTGACTGTACCTCAGCCTGTTATAGTGGAGAGCACCTGGCGTGACTGTCCCTCAGCCTGTTATAGTGGAGAGCACCTGGTGACTGTCCTTTAGCCTGTTATAGTGGAGAGCACCTGGTGACTGGTGACTCTCAGCCTGTTATAGTGGAGAGCACCTGGTGACTGGTGACGATCCCAGCCTGTTATAGTGGAGAGCACCTGGTGACTGCTACCTCAGCCTGTTATAGTGGAGAGCACCTGGTGACTCTACCTCAGCCGTTATAGTGGAGGGGCACCTGGTGACTTGGGAACTGTCCCTAGCCTGTATAGTGGAGAGCACCTGGTGACTCTGACCTCAGCCTGTTATAGTGGAGAGCACCTGGTGACTGTACCTCAGCCTGTTATAGTGGAGAGCCACTGGTGACTTACCTCAGCCTGTTATAGTGGAGAGCACGTGGTGACTGTCCTTTAGCCTGTTATAGTGGAGAGCACCTGGTGACTGGCTTCCCTCAGCCTGTTATAGTGGAGAGCACCTGGTGACTGGTGACTGTCCCTCAGCCTGTTATAGTGGAGAGCACCTGGTGACTGTCCCTCAGCCTGTTATAGTGGAGAGCACCTGGTGACTCTACCTCAGCCGGTTATAGTGGAGAGCACCTGGTGACTGGTGACTGTCCCTCAGCCTGTTATAGTGGAGAGCACCTGGTGACTCTACCTCAGCCTGTTATAGTGGAGAGCACCTGGTGACTGTACCTCAGCCTGTTATAGTGGAGAGTGACTGGTGACTCTACCTCAGCCTGTTATAGTGGGAGCACCTGGTGACTGGTGACTGTACCTCAGCCTGTTATAGTGGAGAGCACCTGGTGACTGTCCCTCAGCCTGTTATAGTGGAGAGTGACTGGTGACTCTACCTCAGCCTGTTATAGTGGAGAGCACCTGGTGACTGTCCCTCTGCCTGTTATAGAGGAGAGCACCTGATGACTGTCCCTCAGCCTGTTATAGTGGAGAGCACCTGGTGACTGTCCCTCAGCCTGTTATAGTGGAGAGCACCTGGTGACTGTCCCTCAGCCTGTTATGTGGAGAGACTGGTGACTCTACCTCAGCCTGTTGTAGTGGAGAGCACCTGGTGACTGGTGACTGTCCCTCAGCCTGTTATAGTGGAGAGCACCTTTTGGGGACTCTACCTCAGCCTGTTATAGTGGAGAGTGACTGGTGACTCTACCTCAGCCTGTTATAGAGGAGAGCACCTGGTGACTCTACCTCAGCCTGTTATAGTGGAGAGCACCTGGTGACTGTACCTCAGCCTGTTATAGTGGAGAGCACCTGGTGACTCTACCTCAGCCTGTTATAGTGGAGAGCACCTGGTGACTGTCCCTCAGCCTGTTATAGTGGAGAGCACCTGGTGACTGTCCCTCAGCCTGTTATAGTGGAGAGCACCTGGTGACTGTCCCTCAGCCTGTTATAGTGGAGAGGACGGACCTAGCTGTATGGGAGAGTGACTGGTGACTGTCCCTCAGCCTGTTGTAGTGGAGAGCACCTGGTGACTGGTGACTGTCCCTCAGCCTGTTGTAGTGGAGAGCACCTGGTGACTGGTGACTGTCCCTCAGCCTGTTATAGTGGAGAGTATGTGATTACTGTACCTCAGCCTGTTATAGTGGAGAGCACCTGGTGACTCTACCTCAGCCTGTTATAGTGGAGAGCACCTGGTGACTGTACCTCAGCCTGTTATAGTGGAGAGCACCTGGTGACTGTCCCTCAGCCTGTTATAGTGGAGAGCACCTGGTGACTGTCCTCAGCTTTATAGTGGAGAGCACCTGGTGACCTGTCCCAGCCTGTTATAGTGGAGAGCACCTGGTGATGGTGAGTCCTCAGCCTGTTATAGAGGAGAGCACCTGGTGACTCTACCTCAGCCTGTTTAGTGGAGAGCACCTGGTGACTGGTGCTTCCTCAGCCTGTTATAGTGGAGAGCACCTGGTGACTGGTGACTGTCCTTCAGCCTGTTATAGTGGAGAGCACCTGGTGACTGTACCTCAGCCTGTTATAGTGGAGAGCACCTGGTGACTGGTGACTGTCCCTCAGCCTGTTATAGTGGAGAGCACTGGTGACTGGTGACTGTCCTTCAGCCTGTTATAGTGGAGAGCACCTGGTGACTCTACCTCAGCCTGTTGTAGTGGAGAGCACCTGGTGACTGGTGACTGTCCCTCAGCCTGTTATAGTGGAGAGCACCTGGTGACTGGTGACTGTCCTTCAGCCTGTTATAGTGGAGAGCACCTGGTGACTGTCCCTCAGCCTGTTATAGTGGAGAGCACCTGGTGACGGTGATGTCCCTCAGCCTGTTATAGAGGAGAGCACCTGGTGACCTACTCAGCCTGTTGTAGTGGAGAGCACCTGGTGACTGTCCCTCAGCCTGTTATAGTGGAGAGCACCTGGTGACTGGTGACTGTCCTTCAGCCTGTTATAGTGGAGAGCACCTGGTGACTGTACCTCAGCCTGTTATAGTGGAGAGCACCTGGTGACTGGTGACTGTCCCTCAGCCTGTTATAGTGGAGAGCACATGGTGACTGGTGACTGTCCTTCAGCCTGTTTAGTGGAGAGCACCTGGTGACTGTCCCTCAGCCTGTTATAGTGGAGAGCACTGGTGACTGGTGACTGTCCCTCAGCCTGTTATAGTGGAGAGCACCTGGTGACTGGTGACTGTCCCTCAGCCTGTTATAGTGGAGAGCACCTGGTGACTGTCCCTCAGCCTGTTATAGTGGAGAGCACCTGGTGACTCTACCTCAGCCGGTTTATAGGTGGAGAGCACCTGGTGACTGGGACTGTCCCTCAGCCTGTATAGTGGAGAGCACCTGGGTGACTCTACCTCAGCTGTTATAGTGGAGAGCACTGGTGACTGTACCTCAGCCTGTTATAGTGGGAGGACTGGTGACTCTACCTCAGCCTGTTATAGTGGAGAGCACCTGGGATTGGGACTGTACCTCAGCTGTTATAGTGGAGGCACCTGGTGACTGGTGCTGCCTCAGCTGTTAAGTGGAGAGCACCTGGTGACTCTACCTCAGCCTGTTATAGTGGAGAGCACCTGGTGACTGGTGACTGTCCCTCAGCCTGTTATAGTGGAGAGCACCTGGTGACTGGTGACTCTACCTCAGCCTGTTATAGTGGAGAGTATGTGGTTACTGTAGCTCAGCCAATGGTGTTGGAGGCCTCCCCTGCTGCCATGCTGGTGTATGTTTTTATTACTGAGGAGGAACCTCTTGACCCGTAGGGGAGGATCCCAATCTCATCTACATATCAGCGTTAGGGGTGTGTGTTTTACATCCCGAAGAGCTGCAGTCTAAAGGTGACCTGATTTATTATTGTTGTCTATCAAACTCATTCCACGGAAACAGTTCAGTGAATGCAATATGTTTTAATATTGTCTCTAGTTCTCTGCCATATCATGTATTTGTTGCCACAGCTCAAGGCCTTTTCAGGGTGTGTTTCCAAGAGGAATGGCGTAGGCTTTAAGGAGCAAATGACCGCCTGCTGACCAAATGAAATGAAGCCAGCACTCACTTGATGCACAACTTGTAATTGAAGCTTTGTTTTATTGTTGTTGTTTTTTAAGCAATATGTCTTATTAGATCACATACTATTATATGTTTGGGCTTGCACCTTCAGTGTGTTTGTGACACCATTCACTTTCTCACTAAATGGTGTGTCTCTGCAGAGGGAGTCCGCCAGGTGTTTCCCCCCCAGTTTTACTCACCTTCTGTATTCTGTCTCTCTCAAATCAAATCAAATCAAATCAAATTTTATTGGCCACATGCGCCGAATACAACAGGTGCAGACATTACAGTGAAATGCTTACTTACAGCCCTTAACCAACAGTGCATTTATTTTTAATAAAAAAGTAAAATAAAACAACAACAAAAAAGTGTTGAGAAAAAAAGAGCAGAAGTAAAATAAAAGAACAGTAGGGAGGCTATATATACAGGGGGGTACCGGTGCAGAGTCAATGTGCGGGGGCACCGGCTAATATGTACTCTCCCTCCCCAGAGGGCGTCCCCCAGGTGTTCTTCCCCCCAGTTTCTGTATTCTGTCTCTCTCCCTCCCCAGAGGGCGTCCCCAGGTGTTTTCCCCCAGTTTCTGTATTCTGTCTCTCTCCCTCCCCAGAGGGCGTCCCCCAGGTGTTTTCCCCCCAGTTTCTGTATTCTGTCTCTCTCCCTCCCCAGAGGGCGTCCCCCAGGTGTTCTACTTTGGGCCCTGTGGGAAGTATAATGCCATGGTTCTGGAGCTACTGGGTCCTAGTCTGGAAGACCTGTTCGATCTGTGTGACAGAACCTTCTCCCTCAAGACCGTCCTCATGATCGCCATTCAGCTGGTACAAATACACACACTGTTTCACTTCACCTCTCTGTCGGTCTCTGAATCGGTGTCTCGTTATATACAGTGGCAAGAAAAAGTATGTGAACCCTTTGGAATTACCTGGATTTCTGCGTAAATTGGTCATAAAATTTGGTCTGATCTTGATCTAAGTCAAAACAATAGACAACCACAGTGTGCTAAAACTAATAACACACAAACAATGATACGTTTTCATGTCTTTATTGAACAAACCGTGTAAACATTCACAGTGCATGGTGGGAAAAGGATATGAAGCCTTGGATTTAATAACTGGTTGACCCTCCTTTGGCAGCAATAACCTCGACCAAACGTTTTCTGTAGTTGCGGATCAGACCTGAACAACAGTCAGGAGGAATTATGGAACATTCCTCTTCACAAAACCCGTTTCAGTTCAGCAATATTATTGGGATGTCTGGTGTGAACCGCTCTCGAGGTCATGCCACAGCATCTCAATGGGGTTGAGGTCAGAACTCTGACTGGGCCACTCCAGAAGGCGTATTTTCTTCTGTTGAAGTGTTGATTTACTTCTGGGTTTTGGGTCGTTGTCCTGTTGCATCACCCAACTTCTGTTGAGCTTCAATTGGAGGACAGATAGCCTGACATTCTCCTTCAGAATGTCTTGATTAACTTGGGAATTCATTTTTCCGTTGACGATAGCAAGCTGTCCAGGCCCTGAGGCAGCAAAGCAGCCCCAAACCATGATGCTCCCTCCACCATACTTTACAGTTGGGATGAGGTTTTGATGTTGGTGTGCTGTGCCTTTTTTTCTCCACACATAGTGTTGTGTGTTCCTTCCTTCCAAACAACTCAACTTTAGTTTCATCTGTCCACAGAATATTTTGCCAGTAGCGCTGTGGAACATCCAGGTGCTCTTTTGCGAACTTCAGACGTGCAGCAATGTTTTTTTTTGGACATCAGTGTCTTCTTCTGTGGTGTCCTCCCATGAACACCATTCTTGTTTAGTGTTTTACGTATCGTAGACTCGTCAGCAGAGATGTTAGCATGTTCCAGAGATTTCTGTAAGTCTTTAGCTGACTCTAGGATTCTTCTTAACCTCGTTGAGCGTTCTGCGCTGTGCTCTTGCAGTCGTCTCTGCAGGACGGCCACTCCTTGGGAGAGTAGCAACAGTGCTGAACTTTCTCCATTTACAGACAATTTGTCTTACCGTGGACTGATGAACATCAAGGCTTTTAGAGATACTTTTGAAACGCTTTCCAGCTTTATGCAAGTCAACCATTCTTAATCTTAGGTCTTCTGAGATCTCTTTTGTTCGAGGCATGGTTCACATCAGGCAAGGCTTCTTGTGAACAGCGAACTCACATTTTTGTGAGTGTTTTTTTTTATAGGGCAGGGCACCTCTAATCAACATCTCCGATCTCGTCTCATTGGTTGGACTCCAGGTCAGCTGACTCCTGCCTCCAATTAGCTTTCGGAGAAGTCATTAGCCTACGGGGTTCACATACTTTTTCCAACCTACACTGTGAATGTTTAAATGATGTATTCAATATAGACAAGAAAAAAACAATAATATGTGTGTTATTAGTTTAAGCACACTGTGTTTGTTTTGACTGAAGATCAGATCACATTTTATGACCAATTTATGCAGAAATCTAAGTAATTCCAAAGTGTTCACAAACTTTTTCTTGCCACTGTATCACTCTCTCTTTCTCTCTCGCTCTCACTCTCTCTCGCTCTGTGTATATATATATATGCCATTTATCCAAAGCGTGCATACATTTTACGTAGATTTTTACGGGTGGTCCTGGGAATCAAACCCACTGGCGACCAACTGAACCTCTTGGTGTTCTCCCCCAGATCACGCGGATGGAGTTCGTCCAAACCAGGAGTCTGATCTACCGGGACGTGAAGCCAGAGAACTTCCTGGTTGGCCGGCCCGGCAGCAAGCGCCAGCACACCATCCACATCATCGACTTCGGCCTGGCCAAAGAGTACATCGACCCAGAGACCAAGAAACACATCCCCTACAGGGAGCACAAGAGCCTGACTGGCACCGCACGCTACATGAGCATCAATACTCACCTGGGCAAAGGTAAGGAGCCTGATGGGCACTACATGAGCATCAATACTCACCTGGGCAAAGGTAAGGAGCCTGATGGGCGCTACATGAGCATCAATACTCACCTGGGCAAAGGTAAGGAGCCTGATGGGCGCTACATGAGCATCAATACTCACCTGGGCAAAGGTAAGGAGCCTGATGGGCACTACATGAGCATCAATACTCACCTGGGCAAAGGTAAGGAGCCTGATGGGCACTACATGAGCATCAATACTCACCTGGGCAAAGGTAAGGAGCCTGATGGGCACTACATGAGCATCAATACTCACCTGGGCAAAGGTAAACCCACTGGCGACCGAGTGGCGCAGTAGTCTAAGGCACACTGCATATCAGTGCTCGAGGCGTCACTACAGACCCCCTGGTTCGATCCCAGGCTGTATCACAACCGGCCGTGATCGGGAGTCCCATAGGGCGGCGCACAATTGGCCCAGTGTCGTCCGGGTTTGGCTGGTGTAGGCCGTCATTGTAAATAAGAATTTGTTCTTAACTGACTTGCCTGGTTAAATAAAGGTAAAATAAAAAACAGCCTGATTTGATGTATTCTGTATTATCCAGGTGATCCCATGGATAGAATATATTTTACAAGAAAGACCCAAAAAGAATTTACATGACAAAGATGGAGGAAGATGAGCGTTTCCAATGACATCATCGGTGTGCATCATGTGATTTTAACAAGTTATGAGGAGGCATTGCCTACTAATTGCCTACTAATTGTCAACTAATTGGCTGATGATGTCATTGGGAACACTTATCTCCTATCTGTTTTACTACAAAACATAGAAACGCTCCATTTTCACATATGTTGATGTTGGGGTGGTGTTGGAGATGATGAATATGAATTTGAACATTTTTGAAAATGTCCCTTTTTAAGGCAGATTTTAAATATTGTCATGTTAAATCAATGGATGCCCTTTCTGATCCAACCATGTTTGTCCTCGTTGAAATCCCCAATCCAAACTTCATTACTCTTAGAGGTCTAAAAATGTTGGTTTCACAGAAACTCAATTGAAAGTGTTTTTAGTCCAGGAGTAGGTAACCTGGATCGGAGAAAACAGCCCTAATGCATTACATTTTCTACATCAGTCGTTGAATCAGGGTGGCTAATTATGGAACTGTTTTATGGATTGGTCTATTTATCTGGTTCAACAGTTAGGATTGTCAGCATCAGTGATTTGCTTTGTTTGAAACGGTGTGTATGTGAAGGTGTGTGTGTGTGGTGTGTGTGTCTCTCTGAAACTGTGTTTTGTTTCCTGTCTCTCTGTAGAACAAAGCAGGAGAGACGACCTGGAAGCTCTAGGTCACATGTTCATGTACTTCCTGCGAGGCAGTCTGCCCTGGCAAGGCCTGAAGGTAGGAACTCACACCTTAAGGTTAGGAACCAGCTCGTTACTCTTGATCAGTTGATCAAATGTCCAACTAGTTACTGTAGATCAGTTGATCAAAGGTCCAGCTAGTTACTGTTGATCAGTTGATCAAAGGTCCAGCTAGTTACTGTTGATCAATGGTCCAGCTAGTTACTGTTGATTAATGGTCCAGCTAGTTACTGTTGATCAATGGTCCAGCTAGTTACTGTTGATCAGGTTGTGTATGACAGTAGCTGTGGTGTCCTGTCTGTCAGTCACACAGCCGCCAGTCACACAGCCGCCAGTCACACAGCCGCCAGTCACACAGCCGCCAGTCACACAGCCGCCAGTCACACAGCCGCCAATCACACAGCCGCCAGTCACACAGCCGCCAGTCACACAGCCGCCAGTCACACAGCCGCCAGTCACACAGCCGTCAGTCACACAGCCGTCAGTCACACAGCCGCCAGTCACACAGCCGCCAGTCACACAGCCGTCAGTCACACAGCCGTCAGTCACACAGCCGCCAGACACACAGCCGCCAGTCACACAGCCGCCAGTCACATGTCTCTATGCACATCACTGAGACGGACTTCACATTACATTGTTCAGAGAGAAAGTTGTCTGTTGTGACACCTATATCAAAAGTTACCCATCACAATTCCCTGATTGGTCTGTTTGCCCTTTAACAGAATTAAAAATACCCAACAGGCAATGAAGTCTGTCTCTCTCGCTCTGTCTCATTTCTCTCCCTGTGTCCTCTCTATCCCGTCTCTGCTCTCTCGTCTCCTTTGTCTACCTTCTGTTTCCCTCTTCTGTCTGCCTATCATCTTGCTATACTAATCTCTCTTCTACTATCTTGTCATCTCTACTATCTCTTCTATATTCTTTCTCTCTCTTGCTCCTATATCGTCTCTCTTCTGTATGTTCGTCTCCTCTTCCTGCTCGTCTCTATCGCTCTCTCTCTATCTCTCTAGCTCTCTATCGATCTATCATCTCACTCTCTATCTCCGCTATCTCTCTGCTCTCTCTCTTATCTCTTCTCTCTTCTCTCGTCTATCTCTCCCCTTCTCCTCCTCTCTCTAGCATCTCTACCTATCCAGGAGAAACGAAGGAGCGCTATCAGAACGATAGGCGGACACCAGAGAGCCACGCCATCGAGGTGCTGTGTGAGAGCTTCCAGTCGTGTATCATCATGTTTAGTACCGGGTCGGGAACCCCCTTTGGTATCAAGGGACCTAACGTGTACCAGGGAAAACATTCCCCACACCACCACCACCAGCCTGTACCGTTGACACCAGGCAGGATGGGGTCATGGACTCATGCTGCTTACACCAAATCCTGACTCATCAGCATGACGCAACAGGAACAGGGATTTGTGTTCCATCCTGTATTTAATGTGCTCCTTCCTGTATTTAATGTGTGTCTCCCTGTATTTAATGTGTCTCCCTGTAGAAGAGATGGCCACCTACCTGCGTTATGTGCGGCGGCTGGACTTCTTTGAGAAGCCGGACTATGACTACTTACGGAAACTCTTCACTGACCTCTTCGATAGGAACGGCTACGTCTTTGACTACGAGTACGACTGGGTCGGCAAGCCACTGGTCAGTCCCTAATATAACCCTAACCCCTCAGTCCTAACCCTAGTATTATCCCTCAGCCCTAACCCTAGTTTATCCCTCAGTCCTAACCCTAGTATTATCCCTCAGTCCTAACCCTAGTATTATCCCTCAGTCTAACCCTAGTATTATCCCTCAGTCCTAACCCTAGTATTATCCCTCAGTCCTAACCCTAGTATTATCCCTCAGCCTAACCCTAGTATACCCTCAGTCCTAAAAACCAAAGTAGTATCCCTCAGCCCTAACCCTAGTATTATCCTCAGTCCTAACCCTAACCCCTCAGTCCTACCCTAGTATTATCCCTCAGCCTAACCTAGTATTATCCCTTAGCCCTAACCCTAGTATTATCCCTCAGTCCTAACCCTAGTATTATCCCTCAGTCCTAACCCTAACCCCTCAGTCCTAACCCTAGTATTACCTCAGTCCTAACCCTAGATTATCCCTCAGGTCCTAACACTAGTATTATCCTCAGTCAACCCTAGTTTTATCCCTCAGCCCTAACCCAGTATTACCCCTCAGTCCTAACCTAGTATATCCCTCAGTCCTAACCTAGTATTATCCCTCAGCCCTAACCATAGTATTATCCCTCAGCCCTAACCCTAGTATATCCCTCAGTCTAACCCTAGTATTATCCCTCAGCCCTAACCTAGTATATCCCTCAGTCCTAACCCTAGTATTATCCCTCAGCCCTAACCCTAGTATTATCCCTCAGCCCTAACCCTAGTATTATCCCTCAGTCCTAACCCTAGTATTATCCCTCAGTCCTAACCCTAGTATTATCCCTCAGTCCTAACCCTAGTATTATCCCTCAGTCCTAACCCTAGTATTATCCCTCAGTCCTAACCCTAACCCTCAGTCCTAACCCTAGTATTATCCTCAGCCCTAACCCTAACACCACAGTCCTAACCCTAGTATTATCCTCAGCCCTAACCCTAGTATTATCCCTCAGTCCAAAACCCTAGTATATCCTCAGTCCTAACCACTAGTATATCCCTCAGTCCTAACCCTAGTATTATCCCTCAGTCCTAACCCTAACCCCTCAGTCCTAACCCTAGTATTATCCCTCAGCCCTAACCCTAACCCTCAGTCTAACCCTAGTATATCCCTCAGTCTAACCCTAGTATTATCCCTCAGTCCTAACCTAGTATTATCCCTCAGTCCTAACCCTAACCCTCAGTCCTAACCTAGTATTATCCCTCAGTCCTAACCCTAGTATATCCCTCAGTCCTAACCCTAGTATTATCCCTCAGTCCTAACCTAGTATAATCCTCAGTCCTAACCCTAGTATATCCCTCAGTCCTAACCCTAGTATTATCCCTCAGTCCTAACCCTAGTATTATCCCTCAGTCCTAACCCTAGTATTATCCCTCAGTCCTAACCCTAGTATTATCCCTCAGTCCTAACCCTAACCCCTCAGTCCTAACCCTAGTATTATCCCTCAGTCCTAACCCCTAACCCCACCAGTCTAACCCTAGTATTATCCTCAGTCCAAAACCTAACCCCACAGTCCTAACCCTAGTATTATCCCTCAGTCCTAACCCTAGTATTATCCCTCAGTCCTAACCCTAGTATTATCCCTCAGTCCTAACCCTAGTATTATCCCTCAGTCCTAACCCTAACCCCTCAGTCCTAACCCTAGTATTATCCCTCAGTCCTAACCCTAACCCCACAGTCCTAACCCTAGTATTATCCCTCGCCTAACCTAGTATTACCTAGTTCAACCCTAGTATTATCCCTCAGTCCTAACCCTAGTATTATCCTCAGTCCTAACCCTAGTATTATCCCTCAGCCTAACCCTAACCCCTCAGTCCTAACCTAGTATTATCCCTCAGCCCTAACCCTAACCCCTCAGTCCTAACCCTAGTATTATCCCTCAGCCCTAACCCTAACCCCACAGTCCTAACCCTAGTATTATCCCTCAGTCCTAACCCTAGTATTATCCCTCAGTCCTAACCCTAGTATTATCCCTCAGTCTAACCTAGTATTATCCATCATTTCCCCTAACCCCTCAGTCCTAACCCTAGTATTATCCCTCAGTCCTAACCTAGTATTATCCCTCAGTCCTAACCCTAGTATATCCCTCAGTCCTAACCCTAGTATATCCCTCAGTCCTAACCCTAGTATTATCCCTCAGTCCTAACCCTAACCCTCAGTCCTAACCTAGTATATACCTCAGTCCTAACCCTAGTATTATCCCTCAGTCATAACCTAGTATTATCCCTCAGCCCTAACCCTATCCCTCAGTCCTAACCTAGTATTATCCTCAGTCCTAACCCTAGTATTATCCCTCAGTCCTAACCCTAGTATTATCCCTCAGCCCTAACCCTAGTATTATCCCTTAGCCCTAACCCTAGTATTATCCCTCAGTCCTAACCCTAGTATTATCCCTCAGCCCTAACCCTAACCCCTCAGTCCTAACCCTAGTATTATCCCTCAGTCCTAACCCTAGTATTATCCCTCAGTCTAACCACTAGTATTATCCTCAGTCCTAACCCTAGTATTATCCCTCAGCCCTAACCCTAGTATTATCCCTCAGTCCAACCCTAGTATATCCTCAGTCCTAACCCTAGTATTATCCCTCAGCCCTAAACCTAGTATTATCCCTCAGCCTAACCTAGTATATCCCAGTCCCTAACCTAGTATTATCCCTCAGCCAACCCTAGTATTATCCCTCAGTCCTAAACCTAGTATTATCCTCAGCCCTAACCTAGTATTATCCTAGCCCTAACCTAGTATTATCCATCAGCCCTAACCCTAGTATATCCCTCAGTCCTAACCCTAGTATTATCCCTCAGTCCTAACCCTAGTATTATCCCTCAGTCCTAACCCTAGTATTATCCTCAGTCCTAAACCCTAGTATTCCTCAGTCCTAACCTAACCCTCAGTCCTAACCCTAGTATTATCCTCAGCCCTAACCCTAACCCCACAGTCCTAACCCTAGTATTATCCCTCAGCCCTAACCCCTAGTATATCCCTCAGTCCAAACCCTAGTATTATCCCTCAGTCCTAACCCTAACCCCTCAGTCCTAACCCTAGTATTATCCCTCAGTCCTAACCCTAGTATTATCCCTCAGTCCTAACCCTAGTATTATCCCTCAGTCCTAACCCTAGTATTATCCCTCAGTCCTAACCCTAGTATTATCCTCAGTCCTAACCCTAGTATACCCCTTTCAGTCCTAACCTAGTATTATCCCTCAGTCTAACCCTAGTATTATCCCTCAGTCCTAACCCTAACCCCTCAGTCCTAACCCTAGTATTATCCCTCAGTCCTAACCCTAACCCCACAGTCCTAACCCTAGTATATCCCTCAGTCCTAACCCTAACCCCACAGTCCAAAACCCTAGATTATCCCTCAGTCCTAACCCTAGTATTAGCCTCAGTCCTAACCTAGTATTATCCTCAGTCCTAACCCTAGTATTATCCTCAGTCCAAACCCCTAACCCTCAGTCCTAACCCTAGTATTATCCCTCAGTCCTAACCCTAACCCCACAGTCCTAACCCTAGTATTATCCCTCAGCCCTAACCCTAGTATTATCCCTCAGTCCTAACCCTAGTATTATCCCTCAGTCCTAACCCTAGATTATCCCTCAGTCCAAAACCCTAACCCCTCAGTCCTAACCCTAGTATTATCCTCAGCCCAACCCTAACCCTCAGTCTAACCCTAGTATTATCCCTCAGCCCAAACCTAACCCCTCAGTCCTAACCAGTTATCCCTCAGCCCTAACCCTAACCCCACAGTCTAACCTAGTATTATCCTCAGTCCTAACCCTAGTATTATCCCTCAGTCCTAACCTGGGATTATCCCTCAGTCCTAACCCTAGTATATCCCCAGTCCTAACACTAACCCTCAGTCCTAACCCTAGTATTATCCCTCAGTCCTACCCTAGTATTATCCTCAGTCCTAACCCTAGTATTACCCTCAGTCCTAACCTAGTATATCCTAGTCCTAACCTAGTATTATCCCTCAGTAAACCCTAACCCCTCAGTCCTAACCCTAGTATTATCCCTCAGTCCTAACCCTAGTATTATCCCTCAGTCCTAACCCTAGTATTATCCCTCAGTCCTAACCCTAGTATTATCCCTCAGTCCTAACCCTAACACCTCAGTCCTAACCCTAGTATTATCCCTCAGTCCTAACCCTAACCCCTCAGTCCTAACCCTAGTATTATCCCTCAGTCCTAACCCTAACCCTCAGTCCTAACCCTAGTATAATCCCTCAGCCCTAACCCTAGTATTACCCCTCAGTCCTAACCCTAGTATTATCCCTCAGTCCTAACCCTAGTATTATCCCTCAGTCCTAACCCTAACCCCTCAGTCCTAACCCTAGATTTTTCCCTCAGTCCTAACCCTAGTATTATCCCTCAGTCCAAAACCCTAACCCTCAGTCCTAACCCTAGTATAATCCCTCAGCCTAACCTAGTATTACCCTCAGTCCTAACCCTAGTATTATCCCTCAGTCCTAACCCTAACCCTCAGTCCTAACCCTAGTATTATCCCTCAGTCCTAACCCTAACCCCTCAGTCCTAACCCTAGTATTATCCCTCAGTCCTAACCCTAGTATTATCCCTCAGTCCTAACCCTAACCCCTCAGTCCTAACCCTAGTATTATCCCTCAGTCCTAACCCTAGTATTATCCCTCAGTCCTAACCCTAGTATTATCCCTCAGTCCTAACCTAACCCCTCAGTCCTAACCCTAGTATTATCCCTCAGCCCTAACCCTAGTATTATCCTCAGTCCAACCCTAGTATTATCCCTCAGTCCTAACCCTAGTATTATCCCTCAGTCCTAACCCTAGATTATCCCTCAGCCCTAACCTAGATTATCCCTCAGTCCTAAACCTAGTATTGTCCCTCAGTCCTAACCCTAGTATTATCCTCAGTCCTAACCCTAACCCTCAGTCCTAACCCTAGTATTATCCTCAGTCCTAACCCTAGTATTATCCCTCAGTCCTAACCCTAGTATTATCCCTCAGTCCTAACCCTAGTATTATCCCTCAGCCCTAACCCTAACCCCTCAGTCCTAACCCTAGTATTATCCCTCAGTCCTAACCCTAGTATTATCCCTCAGTCCTAACCCTAGTATTATCCCTCAGTCCTAACCCTAGTATTATCCCTCAGTCCTAACCCTAGTATTCCCTCAGTCCTAACCCTAGTATTATCCCTCAGTCCTAACCCTAGTATTATCCCTCAGTCCTAACCCTAGTATTATCCCTCAGTCCTAACCCTAACCCCTCAGTCCTAACCCTAGTATTATCCCTCAGTCCTAACCCTAGTATTATCCCTCAGTCCTAACCCTAGTATTATCCCTCAGTCCTAACCCTAGTATTATCCCTCAGCCCTAACCCTAATCCCTCAGTCCTAACCCTAGTATTATCCCTCAGTCCTAACCCTAGTATTATCCCTCAGTCCTAACCCTAGTATTATCCCTTAGCCCTAACCCTAGTATTATCCCTCAGTCCTAACCCTAGTATTATCCCTCAGTCCTAACCCTAACCCCTCAGTCCTAACCCTAACCCCTCAGTCCTAACCCTAGTATTATCCCTCAGCCCTAACCCTAGTATTATCCCTCAGCCTAACCCTAGTATATCCCTCAGCCCTAACCCTAACCCCCAGTCCTAACCCTAGTATTATCCCTCAGTCCTGATTATCCCTCAGTCCTTAACCCTAGTAGTATTATCCCTCAGTCCTAACCCTAGTATTATCCCTCAGTCCAACCCTAGTATTATCCTCAGTCCTAACCCTAGTATTATCCCTCAGTCCTAACCCTAGTATTATTCTGTCCTAACCCTAGTATTATCCCTCAGTCCTAACCCTAGTATTACCCCTCAGTACTATTCCTGACTAGCCAATCGTAGTGCACTATGAATATGGAATTACAGGGTGTGATTTGGGACATTCCCCTGCTCTTATGACCCCTCCTCCTTTTCCCTCAGCCCACTCCTATTGGCTGTTTAGTTAATGATGACCTTTAACCTCTGTCCTCAGCCCACTCCTATTGGTCCAGTCCCCAGTGAGACCCTCCTACAGTCCAGCAGCAGAGACAAGGCAGCGCAGCAGACCAAAAACCAGGTAGGAGACACACTGGGGACACACTGGGGTAGGGCTGAACACACTGGAGACACACTGGAGACACACTGGACACACACTGGACACACACTGGAGACACATGGGAGACACACTGGAGACACACTGGAGAACACACTGAACACACACTGGAGACACACTGGAGACACACTGGAGACACACTGGAGACACACTGAACACACACTGGAGACACACTGGAGACACACTGGAGACACACTGGAGACACACACTGAACACACACTGAACACACACTGGAGACACACTGGAGACACACTGGACACACACACTGAACACACACTGGAGACACACTGGAGAACACACACTGGACACACACACTGAAACACACATGAACACACACACACACTGAACACCACTGAACACACAACACCACACTGGACACACACTGAACACACACACACACACTGGACACACACTGAACACACACACACACTGAACACACACTGGAGACACACTGGAGACACACTGGACACACACACACTGAACACACACTGAACACACACACACTGAACACACACTGGAGACACACTGGAGACACACTGGACACACACACTGAACACACACTGGAGACACACTGGAGACACACTGGAGACACACTGAACACACACACACACTGGACCCCACACACCCCCTGAACACACACTGAACACACACTGAACACACACTGAAACACACACTGGAGACAACTGAACACACACACACACTGGACACACACACACACTGAACACACACTGAACAAAAACATGAACACACACTGAACACACAAAACATGAACACACACACACTGAACACACACACACACTGAACACCCACACACACACGGAACACCCACACACACATGAACACCCACACACACACGGAACACACACACACACACTGAACACACACTGAAACACAAACACACACTGAACACACACTGAACACACATGAACACACAAACACACTGAACACACACTGAACACACACACACACACACTGAACACACACACTGAACACACACACACACACTGAACACACACACACACACTGAACACACAACACAACACACACACAACACACAACACACACACACGGAACACACACACACGGAACACACACACACACACACCCACACACACACACCAACTGAACACACACACACACCATGAACACACACACACACTGAACACACACACACAAACACACACTGAACACACATATCATTCAAATTTCACAAATGTCATTCAGCATTTGCTGAATTTTACATTTACAGTGTTCCAAGTTGGCAGCTTCTTACTAACTATCTGTAGCCTGGTCCCAGGCTATATTAGAGAGCAGAAACAGACTGGTATCCAGGCTATATTAGAGAGCAGAAACAGACTGGTATCCAGGCTATATAGGAGACCAGAAACAGACGGTATCCAGGCTATATTAGAGAGCAGAAACAGACTGGTATCCAGGCTATATTAGAGGGGAGCAGAAAACAGACTGGTATCCAGGCTAGTATTAGAGGACAGAAACAGACTGGTATCCAGGCTATATTAGAGAGCAGAAAACAGACTGGTATCCAGGCTATATTAAAGAGACCAGAAACAGACTGGTATCCAGGCTATATTAGAGAGCAGAAACAGACTGGTATCCAGGCTATATTAGAGACCAGAAACAGACTGGTATCCAGGCTATATTAGAGAGCAGAAACAGACTGGTATCCAGGCTATATTAAAGAGAGCAGAAACAGACTGGTATCCAGGCTATATTAAAGAGGGCAGAAACATACTGGTATCCAGGCTATATTAGAGAGCAGAAACAGACTGGTATCCAGGCTAAACTAATTGTATAACTGGCCTTACTCATCAAACCACAGATTGCCACTGACAATGCCACCAGACGCACCAACCGATGCCAGTCTCATAACAGCAGCTTGTTCAGTCTCAGCTCACACCAGTGGCTTCTACAGCCGCTTCTGCTTCTGCATGTCACACGTGTACTCTTCTGCCATGCACTCCTCCTCACGTGCACTCTTTTCTTCCCACGTCACCGCACCGCCCCTCAGGTCTGTGTTGTCCGTCCTCCGGTAGAGCACTGTCTAAGTAGCTGCCGAAACTGCTGACCGGGAGAGAGACTTCTTTAAACACTGTTTGGTGGTCGTGGTGTCTATTCCTTCCTCTACGGCCCCCCGGCACCACGCCGCCGCGACGGAACCCGGCACCAGCGGCCGCCCGAGACGGCCGCCGGCACAGGAGCCGCTCGGCACCAGCGCCGCCCGCGACGGCCCCCGGCACAAGCGCCGCCGCACCAGGCGCAGCCGCGACGGCCCCGCACCAGCGCCGCCCGCGCGGCCCCTCTGTGTCACCACGCCGCCGGACGGCGGGCCGGTCACCGAGCGCCGCCCGCGACGGCCGCCGGGGCACCAGGCAGCCCCGGACGGCCGCCGGCACCAGCGCCGCCCGGCGCCAGCGCCGCCGCGACGGCCACGGCACCAGCGCCGCCCGCACCAGCGCCGCCGCGAGCGGCCCCGTGCACGAAGCGCCGCCCGGAAGCGCCGCGGGGGGGCTACCAGCGCCGCGAAGGCCGCCGGCACCAGCGCCGCCAGGACGGCCGCGGCACATGAGCTCGCCCGCGAACGGCCCCCGGCACCAGGCCGCCCGCGACGGCCGCCGGCGACGAGCGCCGCCCGCTGACGGGCCGCCGGCACCAGCGCCGCACGCCCAAGCTGTCCGCCCGGACGGCCCCGGGCACCATGCGGCGACCGCGATCGGCCGCGGGCACCAGCGGTCCGCCCGCGAACGCGCTGGCACCAGCGCCGCGCCGGACGTGCCGGCCGGCACCAGGCGCGCCCGCGACGGCCGCAGGCACAGCGCGCCCGGAAGGCCCCCGGCACCCAGCGCCGCCCGCGACGCCGCCGGCACCAGCGGGCAGCCCGCGTAGGGCTCGCCGGCACCAGCGCGCCCGAGACTGGCCGCAGGCAAAGCGCCGCCCGACGAAGCCCCGGTCACCAGCGACGCCGGTCACAGAGCGCCCTCTACGTACACCGGCTACCAGAGCCGCCCCGCGACGTCCGCCGGCACTCATATCCCCCGAGACGCCGCGGCCACACAAGCGCCGCCCCGCACCAGCGCCGACGCGACGGCCCCGGCACCGCGGCGCCCCGCGGACGGTCCGCGGGGGCACAAGCGCCGACCGCGGTACGGCCGCGGGCACCAGGCGCCGCGGCGGACTGCCGACGGCACAACGCAGGCCCGCGAAGGCCCGCATAACCAGAGCCGCCCTGGCACAGGGCCGTCCGCAGGCCCCCGGGTTCAGCAACGCCGCCGGGCACCAGCGCCGCCCGCGCGACGGCCTGCCGGCACCAGCGCCGCCCGCGAGGGCCGCCGGCACACAGCGACGCCAGCGAGGGCCGCCGGCACCAGCGCACGCCCGCGACGCCGCGGCACCAGCGCAGCCCGCGACGTGCCACGCCGGAACCAGGCGCAGGCGCGACGGCCCACGCACCAGCGCGCAGCGTAGGCCCCAGGGACAGGAGACTCACGAGTGGAAGGCAGCAGGCACAAGGAAGGCCGAGCGAAAGGAAAAAGGCAACAAGCGGAAGAAGGAAAAAGGAGAAGAAAGCGACGGTAACAGGCACAAGAGCAGCCTGAACCAGACCAGCAAGGACGGAACCGGTAAAAAGAGAAGACAGCGTGAAGGAAACAAGGCAAAAGAGAAGCCAGAGAAGAACAACAGGGAACAACGACGAGGAACAAGAGACTGAATAAATGCAGTCAGGCAAATCTTAAGCACCTAGAACTTCATTCCGGTCAACACGAGATAGGAATACTGACCTAATTCTACCATCTCATCCTTCCGATCTCACCATTGTCCGACCCACTTTCTCCTTTGCTGTCGCGCCAGTCGCCAGAATCCAAAGGAAGTGAGTCCCAGCCCACAAGTGACCCATAGGGATGCATGCTGGGTCCCACCTAACAGCCTGATTTTAAGGAGGGTGGGCTCTGTTCCAGGTAAATGGGCTGTGGGAGTCGACCTCAATGCTAAACCACTCGCTCCTGTATCTTGATTTTTTCTTGTCTTCTTATCTTTGTGTTGTCCGATCTCTTCGTCTTATCGTTTGTAGTCTCTACTATGTTCTGATCACTATGTTTGTAGTCTATCTCTCTCTCTGTCTTCATCTATGTTTTGTTAGTCTCTCTCTTTTGGACTTTCTCTAAATATGTTCTTGTAGTCTCTATCTCTGTATTATTCTCTGTTTTTTTTTGCTTTTAGTCTCTATCTATCGGTCTTCATCTCTGTTTGTAGTCTCTCTCTCAGTCTTCTACTCTGTTTGTAGTCTCTCTCTGTCTTCTTCTGTTTGTAGTCTCTCTGTCTGTCTTCTGTTTGTAGTCTCTCTCTCTGTTTTCTTCTGTTTGTAGTCTGTCTGTCTTTACTGTTGTAGTCTCTATCTGTATTTTCTGTTTGAGTATCTCTGTGCTTCTTTCTAATCTGTTTGAAGTCTCTCTCTATCTGCTTCTAACTATGTTTGTAGTCTCTCTCTGTATTCTACTCTGTTTGTAGTCTCTCTATCTTCTGTTTGTAGTCTCTCTCTCTGTCTTCTACTCTGTTTGTAGTCTCTGTCTTCTACTCTGTTTGTAGTCTCTCGTTTTCTTCTAGGTTGTAGTCTGTCTCTATGTTTGTAGTAGATATCTCGTCTTCTCTGTTTGTAGTCTATATGTCTCTCTGTTGTAGTTCTCTGTATTCCTGTTGTAGTATATCTTGTTCTTATCATGTGTGTAGCCTCTCTGTCTTGTCCTTCTGTTTGTAATAGTCTCTCTCTATTGTTTTATTCTGTTTGTAGCTGTATTTCTTTGTTTGTAGTCTCTCTCTCTGTCTTCTTATGGTTTGTCGTCTCTCGGTATTTACTCTGTTTGTTAGTCTACTCTCTCTATGTCTTCTACTTCTGTTTGGGTCTCTCTCTCTCTGTCTTCTACTCTGTTTGTAGTTCTATACTGTATTCTACTTGGTTTGTAGTCTCTCTCTATCTTCTGTTTGTAGTCTCTCTCTGTCTTCTATGGTGTAAGTATCTGTCTTATAACTATGTTTGTAGTCATTCTTCGTCTTCTATGTTTGTAGGTACTGTCTTCTCGTTGGTAGTTCTCTCTCTGTCTCTCGTTTTAGTTAGTCTCTTCTCTGTCTTCTTCTGTTTGTAGTCTCTCTGTCTGTCTTCTGTTTGTAGTCTCTCTCTCTGTTTTCTTCTGTTTGTAGTCTGTCTGTCTTCTGTTTGTAGTCTCTCTCTCTCTCTGTCTTCATCTCTGTTTGTAGTCTCTCTCTTTCTGACTTCTACTATGTTTGTAGTCTCTCTCTCTGTCTTCTTCTCTGTTTGTAGTCTCTCTCTCTCTGTCTTCATCTATGTTTGTAGCTCTCTAATAGTCTTCTGACTCTTTTTGTAGTCTATCGACTCTCTCTCTACTATGTTTGTAGGCTATCTCGTATTATAATAGGGTTGTAGTCTCGCTCTATCTCTGTTGTAGATCTCTCTTAGTCTTTACTGTTGTAGTCTAGTCTCTACTCGTTTGTAGGTCTCTATGTATTCTTCTCTTGTTTGTGGTCGTCTGTCTCTTCTCTGTTTGTAGTCTCTTACTCTGTCTCTCTGTTTGTAGTCTCCTTCTTCTATGTTTGAGTCTTATGTATTTCTCTTGTGGTTGCCTTAGTCTTATGTTGTAGTCTCTCTATTTTGTATTCTACGCAGTTTGTAGTCTGTCTTCTTCTCTGTTTGTAGTCTCTCTTTTTTATTTTTATTTCTTCAACCTTCATTCTCTTCTCCCCTCTTTTCCCCTCACATTCTGCACACTTCATACTTATATCCTACTGGGGTGAAGAGGGACTAACTCATATATCCTATCTGGGCCAAGGGACTAACTATTATCATACTGGGGCCGAGGGACTAAACTCATATTACTGGGGCCTGAGGGGACTAACTATATCCTACGGGGGCCGAGGGAGGACTAACTATATCCTAATGGGGTCGAGGCCGAGGGATCTAACTATATCCTACTGGGGCAGAGGGGTATCTAACTATATCCTAATGGGTACGAGGGACTAACTATATCCTATGGGGCCCGGGGGGACTAAGTATATCCTATGGAGCCGGGGGAACTATATATCCTACTGGGGCCGAGGGACAACTAATCCTACTGGGGCAAGGACTAATTATATCCTACTGGGGCCGGGGGGGACCACCCCGGAGCGGACTAAGTATATTCTACTGGGGCCGGGGGACTAATTTTATATGCTACTGGGCGGGGGATAATTATTCTACTTGAGGCCGGGCGGACAATGTATCCTACTGGGGCGGGGGACTAATTATATTATATGGGGGCCGGGCGGTACTAATATATTCTACTGGGGCCGGGGGATCTAATTCTTCCTCTGGGGCCGGGGGGGGGACGAATTCTACTTATTATTATTCTCTGGGGCCGGGGGACTAATATATCAGACTGGGGGCCGATGGGACTAATTATATATACTGGGGCCGGGGCGGGAACTAATTATATCATACTGGGGCAGGTGGGACTAATATATTCTACTGGGCCGAGGGACTATATATCCTACTGGGGACGAGGGACTAACTTATCTACGGGGCCGATGTCGGGACTCAACTAACATATATTCTTACTTGGGGCCGAGGGGACTAATATATTCTACTGGGCGGGGACAATTATATACTTTAGATGGGGCCGGGGGACTAATTAATCCTATGGGGCCGGGGGGGGGACTAATTAGATTCTACTGGGGCCGGGGGACTAAATTATTCTTGGGGCCGAGGGACTAACTATATTTCCCATGGGGCCGAGGGGGCTAACTATATCCTACGGGGGGAGGGCTAACTATATCCTACTGGGGCCGAGGGGGGGAACTATATCCTACTGGGCCGGGGACTAACTATATCCTACTGGGGCCGAGGGACTAACTAAAATCCTACTGGGGGCCCAGGGAAATTATATCCCACTGGGGGGTGAGGGGGCTAACATATCCTACGGGGGCCCAGGACTACATATCCTACTGGGGGCCGGGGGAACAAATTTTACTCGGGGCCGGGGGGACTAATTATATCCTACTGGGGCCGGGGACTAATTATTTCTACTGGGGCCGAGGGGGACTAATTTATCACTGGGGCCCGGGGACTAAACTATTCCTACTGGGGGGGGTAATTTATCCTACTCCCTATTTTGGGGGGGGACTAATTAAAATCCCACTGGGGCCGGGGGAAATTATATCCTACTGGGGCCGGGGACTAATTATATTTCCTTTCTGGGGCCGGGGGACTAATGATATTCTACTGGGGGCCCAGGGACAAATTTTATCCTACTGGGGCCGGGGGACTAATTATATCCTACTGGGGCCGGGGGGGGACTAACTATAAACCTTGGGGGACAATATATCCTACTGGGGCCGGGGGACTTTATCATGGGGGGGGACTAATTATATCCTATGGGCCGGGGGAAAAATATTCTAGGGGCCGGGGGGGGCTAAGATTTCTACTGGGGGGGGGGAAAAACTATATCCTCGGGGCGGGGATATTATATCTACTGGGGCGGGGACTAATTATTCTACTGGGCCGGGGACATAATCCTATGGGGCGGGGGGATAATTATATTCTACTGGGCGAGGACTATATATCTATGGGGCCGGGACTAATAATCCTACTGGGCCGGGGGACTAAATTTTATCCATGGGCCGGGACTAATTAACCTAGGGCGAGGGACTATTATATCTATGGGCAGGGCATTATCTATGGGGGCCCAGGGACTAACTATTCTAGGGGCGAGGGACTATATATTACGGGGCCGGGACTAATTATATTCTACTGGGGCCGAGGGACTAACTTTATTCTACTGGGGCCGAGGGACTAACTATATTCTACTGGGGCGAGGGACTAACTTTATTCTACTGGGGCGCGAGGGACTAACTATATCTACTGGGGCCGAGGGACTAACTTATCCTACTGGGGCCGGGGACTAACTATATCCTACTGGGGCCGAGGGACTAAACTTTATTCTACTGGGGCCGAGGGACTAACTTATCCTACTGGGGCGAGGGACTAACTATATTCTACTGGGCCGAGGGACAATTATATTCTACTGGGCCGAGGGACTAACTTATCCTACTGGGGCCGAGGACTAACTATATTCTACTGGGGCCGAGGGACTAACTATATTCTACTGGGGCCGAGGGACTAACTATATCCTACTGGGGCCGAGGGACTAACTATATTCTACTGGGGCCGAGGACTAACTATACTTCTATCTTGGGGCCGAGGGACTAACTATATCCTACTGGGGCCGAGGGACTAAACTATATCCTACTGGGGCCGAGGGACTAACTATATCCTACTGGGGCCGAGGGACAACTATATCCTACTGGGGCCGAGGGACTAACTATATCCTACTGGGGCCGAGGGACTAACTATATCCTACTGGGGCCGAGGGACTAACTTATATCCTACTGGGGCGAGGGACTAATTATATCCTACTGGGCCGGGGGACTAACTATATCCTACTGGGGCCGGGGGACTAACTATATCCTACTGGGGCCGAGGGACTAACTATATTCTACTGGGGCCGAGGGACTAACTATATTCTACTGGGGCCGAGGGACTAACTATATCCTACTGGGGCCGAGGGACTAACT